TTTGAACTTTTTTCTCCCAGAGTATATACTTTCTCTCGAACTGTATATTTGTTATATAATACCATGACCCAATCTGACTTCTTTGAAAACGCGCCCTCCGCCTCATATTATCAAGGATACAGAGCCTCCGATATAGGTGCATCTCTATATAAAATTCAAGATGATAGTATTAAACCAAGGCATTTCCTTGGTGCAGACAATGCGGATGAAATAGAATCCATACTAACAGAGCGTGAGGGCCACTCCTTACACGAATTTATTAATGGAGATGAGCCACTCCGTCCTGTTATAAACTTTGATTTGCCAATAGAAACATTAAATGTTATAACTCCTAAGCTTTCAGAGTTCCTCGACGCGCCCGCCCCACTTTTTCACCCAGAGGTTGAAAAAGATAAAACAGAAGGCCAGGTAATTCGCTATTCTGGTGAAAAATACTTGTCAGACCTCCCAACTCTGGATGATATAGTCGCGAAAATGATGAGGGATTAACGACAATTCTTGAAGATGCTCTATCTAAACAGCAAGATATTCCTTTCATGGCTATTGATAGTGAAGGATCGACTGAAAGGATAAATGGAACATACTGCTATGTATTGCGTCTTTATGGTCGCCTTATTAATGGCCAAAAGGCATTGGTAACCCTCGTAGGCATTCAGGTTTTCTTCGACATTCGAGTACCAGATGGAGAGTCTCCTGATGAATGTGAAGCAAAAGTGGGTAAAATTCTCTCTGGCACTGCGAAATCATTTAAAATAAAGCATATTAAAGCATTCTCTTTTCGCGAGTACTATACAGAAAAAAAGCCATATTTATGAATTTATACGAATAGCACTGGAGAAAGAAAGAAAGCCATTATAGCTGTCTAAGATAATAATTTCGAAACTGCTTCAGATGATTTATACTCATTCCATCGAAAGATGGCTCGAAAAAATGGAATCCAACTCTCTGGGTGGTCTACAATAAATAAATATATATGTAAGAAAGGTAAGCGGACAGTCCACTCTGTTCGCACGAATTCTATGTGTCTATAAAAGATTTCTGCCCGCTAGAGGATTTTACAGCAATAAGTGACTAATTTCCTATTTCAGCTCTCTTACAGGATCGTACTCTTGTCCTCACGTGAGATATAAAGACGCAATCAGGAGAGTTGGGTGAATTTGCCGAAGTCCTCGATCTAAATCATAATGTTTTTATGATTGGCATCCAAAACCACTAAAGCAAATATGTCTTGTCGATGTTGAGACAAGACCAGATCCACGCCGGACCACAATTATATGCGGAAATCAAAAAAATCTGCTAAAAGCATTCGCATTATGTTGGAGAGTCTTTCAACCTGACATTTAAGTCAGGTTTAACGATTCTGAGTATGATTGGCAGTTCATTATGAAAAGAGCCTATCATCTCAATATACTTGAATGGATGTGGGAGCAGATGACCAGAAAGTTTAAAACGAAGGAAGAAATTCTAAAGTGGAAATATCATGGAAAGATAGGAGCGAAATCTGAAAATAATTTCAAGAAGAAAAAGAATACCGTTAAGGCTCCTAAGGAAGGCGAGGAGGATACGGAAGTGAAAGAATATTTGGGAGGCTCAATTGAGATTAAAATTAGTGCAGAAGATGATTTTACTTCTAGTTTTCTTAAACTGCCAGGGTGTGTACCAATTGATGTTCGGGTATGTCTCAAAAAATGTTACCCCTACTCTGAAGTCAAAAAGGAAGGTTCGCTTAAATTCTTCTTAAAAAAGTGCGGCCTTGATACTAAAGCCGACATGCCATATGCTGAAATGTGGAAAATCTATTCAGAAGCAAAAAAGTGTCCATCACCAATAACTGCGAGGAAAATGCATAATGTTGCGAATTACTGTATTATAGATGCACTGCGTTGCCAAGAGCTAATGATAAAGCTAAGTCAAATAAATGAATACAGAGAAGTCACTTCCATAGCTCATGTATCTCTGTTCGACTCCCACTATCGTGCAAATGGAATGAAGGTACGCAACCTTCTAGGTGCTCGTTCCTTTAAACGTGATATGGTATTTAGCACAAGGATACCTGAAAATATAGAAAAGGGCAAGTACCCTGGTGCGTACGTATTTCCGCCTATAAAAGGGATTGAAAGGAGAAGACCTGTGACAGGATTGGATTTTACTTCATTATATCCCAGTCTTATCATGGCCTACAATCTCTCCCCAGACAAAATAATACTAACGCATGAGGAGGCCGATATTGCGCAAAATAATGGTAATGACTTGTTAAGAGAACTTGCACAATATTATTTATGTCCGCATATATTTTTTCGTCTAATAATACTGGCTAACTTCAATTCCTATCTTCGAACTTCTGACCTCTGATCATATAGCCCAACCTCAGAAATACCCGGAGATGATAAAAAATAGTTCTGATTAGGAGGGTATTCAGTATTACTTTTTTTTTTCAGCTTATCGCTCCATGAATCCCATATTTTTTTCCCAACAATCCATATAATTACAAGAAAAAATAAGGTAAGTATGGCATATGGGGCAGACTGCAACAAAACCAGACAAAGTGAACATTTTATTATGTGACATAAATGAGAGGCTGATTATGATGTGGCTGTAAAATTGACCAGTGTGACTGATAACGTTTTGAAAAGTAATAATAGTGCTCATTCATAACTTATGGACTTGTTAATTTTAATGTTCACTTTATCATACCAGAATGTGATGAATATAAACCATAACATGATTAATATAGGATTATCTCTATATAAAAAATATTAATATGAAACTAATTTACATTAAATCTACCATGGAACCAAAGAATTACAGCACCATTAGAAGCATTTTAAAGAAAGCTCAAGGAGAAAAAATTGCTCCCTATGTTTTTAAAATCAATGATACCCAAACTCTCCAGGAATACCTTGATCAAGAAAAAATTACTTATGAAATTTACCAAGAAGAACGAAAAATAATAAGCCATAAACGAACCTTAACCCCAACTTATGATGAACCAAGAAAGAAACGAAAACTTGAAGAAACGTAAAGAAAACGAATTCAACGTAAAAGCTTCCACCAACGCCTCCACTGATCGAGCGACCTATCAATGAAAGATCGTTCCTTATAGTTTTTGACTTGTTGATAAAGGACATTCGTTAAACCTTGATTTGCATTTTGCTAATTTGATACAATTGTAACAATGTGACAATAATTTGATTTTTGTAGACGTAATTTTATTATCTTTCATTATAGAATGCGATTGCTTTTGAAAATAAGTAATAATAAAGTACCAGAGTGATTGCATGGGAGAAAAATACTCGGACCCAAAGCCATTAATGAGTATAACCTATTCTTTGGTCACTCTGGCGAAACCTATACTACATTTCATTATTAACATCTTTATCCTCTATTTCTTTATTCTTATCAATCCATTCTTCGATAGCTTTTAGTGTGCTCTTCCTCGGATTTGTTTTTCGTTCGTAAAAACTTTTCAACGTGGAGGCTGCAACGCCTTTTCCTTCACGTAATTCGCGGATTTCAGTGGCCATTTGATTAAATGAAAAATTCAGATCCAGCCCAGCTTTTTTGTCAAACAAGTTTTTAAAGTTCTTCAACAGTTTTTCGACGTCTGGTAAGTAACTTTGTTCGCCGAATTGTTTACTTGGTTTATTATTGTGCCTTTTCGTAGGCTCGATTAAATTGATTATTCGATCAATTTTTTGATTTATGACGTAAAGTTTATTTTTGTGGAGTGTATAATAAAGCATGAAGCCAAGGAGAATTCCGATCAGTAATCCACAATAAAATTCGCTGGTGAAAGTGGGCATTTTCAAATTGTTTAAGTGATCAGATAGCTTTTATGATTGATTTTGCGATCAATTTAAATTGATGATTGTTAGGTATAAAGAGGAGAGATTCTGACGGTCTTGCGGTTTTTATAGTAAACTCATGCGTTCATAAAAGGCAGACTCGAATTAATAGCTTTTATTAAAAGTCTAGACAAAAACTGTTTGATTTACCTCCGAACCCTTTTTTCTTTGACAACAAACAAAGATTACTTTCAAACTCATAAATCACATCTTGAACGTCATTGTTGTTCTTTATGACAGTATAACAATCATTAATTAGTATGGTTAGCACTTATATTATGTGACAATTGAGAGACAATATGCTAGCAAACAAAGCCCTCAGACTAGTCGTACGACAATACGAAACATTGTTCCATAACGTTATTTGCAAAGCAGCGTATAAAAGAGATTTTTCCCTTGTCTTCATTCCGACAAAGGCATGGAGGGGTTCTTTCGGCGCTTCAATACGGAGGAGTATCACATGTTTGTGTAAGTAAAACGTATAAACAGGGCTGAGTTGGGTGGTGCAGATCGCGACTCTTCTTTTATTATCATTCACCAAATCATAAAAACTTGAATGGACGTGGATGCAAGAATACTGACTGAGGGCAAGTTCTTTGAGAAGTACGACGAAGAGAATCCCGGAGCAACCTTGAAACAAGCACGAGATACATATAAAAAATACAAGCAAGCACATGGTAAGCAACACACGTTTATTGGGAGGATAGAGGAGCAAACGGGGAGAAGAGTTTGAATACTGTTACTGGTTGTGCTATATTGCAAGAGAGGCAGTTGGGCGTTATTAGTTGGAGCAGAGCTGGATCGTTACCTATACTAAACAATTTCGCTTACAGCGATAAAAGGAGCAAATAAGAGGTAAACTAACCAGATATATTACATCATTTCGTTGGCAACGAAATGCTTATTTAGGTTGTAAGAGCTTGACTTCAACTGCCTCACAAGATCCCAGCAGGTTGTTGGATCTGAATTATGTTAGGAAGGCTTTTGACTGCGAGTACACAAACAGCAGTGAACTTCGCTCTTCGTTTTTCAGATATCTGGAGATGTTTGCTAGTACGTACGATCAAGACAAATACTATTCAACATATGTGACCTTGATACAAGCGAGCGGGGTTGGAAAGTCATGACTATTGAAGGAGATTGGAAATGATGTTTTTGTAATATACTCATGCTTCCGTGAGAGTTTCGCCAGTGGAGGTTTTCCGGAGCGTTCGATCTACGCCAATAATATTTTACACACAAAAGACGTCGTAAGTACTCGCCTTCAGTGGACAGCATATTTATGCGCATGCTTACAAGAGCTAACTGATGCTCAAGTAGAATATGAGCAGTATTGGGCATATCACCAGTCATCTGAAGCTCAAAACAGTATCAAAAATAGAACAAACAGCATCTTTCGTTCTCTAGAGAACTGTTATAATAAAATTGAGAAAGAGGAAGTGCAGTTGAGAATCAAAACTGAGCTCAGAAAGCATTATGAAAATTTTGTTGTGAGGTGTAAGGAAAGGCTTGACCGTATTCCGAGCAAATTGAAATTAGTCTTCGCATTCGATGAGATACAGTATTTGCTTCTATCTGCAGAAAAACCGATAGACCGCTATTACTGGCTTCGGATCATTTTGCGTACGCTTGCTGAAGTGCAATATACTGATTCTTGTATCTTTGCTGTTGTAACGGACACGATGGGTGAACTGTCCAATTTTGCACCGCAGGGTAAACATGATCCTTCTTTACGAGTACAGAGTGGGAGTCATGAACTGTACCCTCTGTACTATCTACTCGATACGTTCAACATCCATATTCGTAAGGCCGCTTTGGAACCAAGGACGTTGGATAAAGCTGCAAAATGCGACTATATTTTCCGATTTGGCAGGCCTTTATGGTATGCACAGTTGTCATCAGCTGCTGATCCTGAGTATCCTGTCCGTTTAGTAAGGCTAGCAATGGCAAAACTTGGGTTTGCGCAATCAAAACTACGAGATTTCAGTATGGCTGTTACCATCCTTGGTTCACGTCTTCACCTTAATATCTCACTACAATCCGAGTTGGCAACCGATTTGGTCTCGAATTATATGCGTTTGATGACGTATATGTCTGAGGATCGTTAAACAGTTGTCACGGCCTCACCGTCTGAACCTCCTTTAGCCATGGCGGCAGCAGCAATAATGAATCATGAGGATATTAGGATTAGCAACATTCTCAAGCATTGGATTCAGGGAATCAGGAAAGGTTCTGTTCTACGTGGTTACCGTGGAGAGACTATCGCTCAATTTATCCTGCTGATGGCTTGGGATAAGCATGCGGCCGCTCGGTCTTCTCCCTTGAGCATCAAGTTCGCAGAACCAATAATTATCTATGACTACCTCAGGTCGCTGTTTGTTGAGAAAGTTTTTACAGATATCTGGCAAAACATAAAGGACACAGAGTTGGCAAAGGGATGGGTTCACTTTAACCATTTTGCGGGAGTATCTTACACACTAGCGAAGCGTAATTTACTTGAGTTTGCCAAGCGTGGAGCAGCAGTTTATTGTAAAGAGTGTCAGAGGGGTGTCGATTTAGTGATTCCAGTTCTAATCGATGGCAATTTGGATATTGAGAGTGTTACATTTATATTAGTACAGGTAAAAAATCACGCTACAATAACAGCGTATCGCGTAGATGCCACCTCAAAACTCACACCTGCATATATGAAGATAGAAGATGCCACAGATTGCATATTGCTATATCTATCTTTGTATATGCAAATTGGTGCTGAAAGACATCGTTATAATATTCTATCAAGTCACGGGCAGAATAAGAAGAATCAGATATCATGCGCGCTTTTTGGGATAACCAAAGAGCTGTACGGCTGTCTGAATTTGAGGCAGGACGATGAGACACTGGAAGTTGAGAAGTCATTGAAAGAATTGCGAACAGCATCTGTAGATCTCATGCAACTGATAGAGGATGAAGAGAATAAGGCAATTGTTCGTCGCATGTTACCGCTTTATTATCCAAAAGATGAGACAGCATCGAAAAGGAGGAAAACTTGATGGGAAACGAAGAGAGATTTCAGTAGAATTTTACAACTTTGAAGGTAAGCTTATGAGAATTCCATTTTCACATATATTATAATAAGATGGACAAGCAGAACAAGATGAGGAATGGTCTGAAGAATATGAATAGTGCGCATGTGGATGTGTTGCAATTTATGCATTCTCTCTCCAGCAATTTAAATAAAAGCCTTAATTATACAAAGAATTCATGCCTTCTCCCTGAGCAAGTTTACTTTATTGTTACGTCATGAGTTTACATATATCATGTCTTAAGGAATGTGAATGTTCTGATTCGTCCCGAATCAGTTCGGCTTTTCTTTTTTTTTTTTTTGAAAGTGGATCATGGCCGCGCGGCAACGCTGCTGACATAGGAAATGTTCATGAAAAGAATAAAGAAATGATAAAATTATATATAGTAGTACTCGTATATGAAAAATAGTGAATACAATGGTTCGACTGAATATGAAAAAGCCATGCGTTTCTTAGAGATAGGTTGTAATTGTGGTTGCTCAAAAATGATTCTGAGAGAAAGGTTTGCCGAATTACGTGAGGCATTTCAAGCTCTCTGTGGATCCGAGCAAGATATATTTTTAATGGCCTAACTGAAAGCGATGAATAGTGGAGAAATAACTGCTAGTCGACGTCTTAAAAAGAAAACGCGTACTAATAAGAGAACGTTTTACTACTGAGATCGCAATATGCCTCTTTGTCAGAAAACGTATCTCAATATGTTAGGAATCGGTCGCACTCATTTGGAAAACGTCAGAAATCATCTAGCAACGAATGGTATAATACCACGCGTTCACGGTAACATCAAACGAGTATCGCGATGGAAAACCAAAATAACCATTTATGTAACCGTTGCTACCGCTGTGAAGAATTTTCTCAAAAACTATGCCAAAATTCATGGATTACCAAGTCCGGGTAGAAATGTTAATCGCATTACTCAATCACTTACCCTATTGCCAGCTGAAACGAGTTATAAATCGGTCTATTGTGATTTTATTGCAGGTCTTGAAAATGATAGCACATTAAAATTGTTAAAATATGACGCATTTCGCAGGTTATGACACCAATTAACGCCTATATTTAAATCATGAGTCCAAGGACGGATTTATGTGACACTTGTCAACATTTTCGGAATGGTTTACAGTATAATGCTCGTAAGGAAGAAGAAGCAAGAGACTTACTAAAGAAATTCAAAGAATATTTAGTTAAGGCTAAATTAGAGAGAAACTATTACAACAGAAATACGAAATTAGCAGAATAACAAAGGAAATTGGTAGATGATAATTACGCTGTAACAGGAGGTAAAGCTGATTATTGTAGCATTGATGCTACTGCTCATTACAGTTATGATTGAGCACAAAATGTTCATGTATCACATTCAGATCAACAGATAAGTAAGATTTACTATCTTAGTCTGCGTAAAGTGCATTTATTTGGTATTCAAGATGAAGCAGTTCACGAACAAATTAATTACGTTCTCGATGAAGACAAAATTATCGGCAAAGGCCCTAATGGTACACTGAGCCTGGTATTCGATGGAATTAAAAGATTGAATAAAGGCGAAAAACATTTAAAGGTTACCTGTGATAACACAGGAGGACAGAATAAAAATAATGCTACTATTTGGTTTTACCTATATTTAATAATTTGCGACTATTATGAAAGTATCGAATTAAATTTCATGGTACCTGGACATACTAAATTTAAGTGTGATGGTAGTTTTGGATTAATTAAGAAACTATATCGCAAAACAACGGTAAATTGTGTAGATGATATTGTTAAAGTTGTGAAAAGATCGAGTACAGCTGGATTAAATAAAGCTCATTGCTATGAAGATGAAAAAGGCTTTCAATACTTAGATCTTAGTTCCGTGTTGGGGACTTCCTTTAAGAAATTGAGTGGGTTACAAAAATATCAGCATTTTGTTTTTGAAGCAGCTAATCCTGGAATTGTCAAAGCTCAAATGATTGCTAATGGGCCCTTTATTGAATTCAATTTAGTTAAAACTAAAAGAACAGATATTTCTCAAGTCATAAAAGAAATTAAAGCCGTTTCTATTTTAGTATTAACACCACCTCCTTTGGATTACAAAAGACAAGAATATCTTTACCATAATATTCGTCCATTTGTTAGAGATGAATTTAAAGACATAACTTGTCCAAAACCAGTTTAAATTTTCTATTTTTTAAAAAAACCAAACCAGTGGTCATGAGCAAAGTTAAAAATTTAGAACCATTGCTATTAATTGACTTTAAATATTCTTTAGTTGATAAAATTGAGTCTTTAATTTATTGCCTAATGTTTTAATTGTATTTTGTGTTTTTGGCAAAGCTGGTAAAGGTTTAGTATTTAAATACTATTTTCATTTTGCTTGGTATTCTTTAATTTCTTCAGTAAGAATTTCTTCAATCTCTTTTTGTTGCCTTGCTTTTTCTCTTAACTTTTGAATACCAGATATTTCAGTATTTAAAGTTTCTTGAATGTTGGTTAAATACTTTTCTTTTTCTTGTTTGTAATTTCCAATGTATTGTTGAAATCGATAAATATTTTCTAAATGCTTGTTCTTTTCTTTTTCATATTTAACTAATCTTTTGTGATTATCTTGTTGAGAAGACCTAGTATAGTCAGTAGCTACCATTTCTTCAATTATCATATTTAACTCAACAGGTAAGCTATTTTGCTGATAAAATTGTTTTCGTGTTAAATATTCTTTAACTCATACTGGTTGGAAATCTTTTCAGCCTTTTTCTTTAACTGCTTCTCAAAGCTTTTGGTTAACTTTATGAATTTGTTCTCATTGTATTTCGTTAAGATTTAATAATTCTTTTTCCGATTCAACTTGACTTTCTCATAATCTTTTTCCACTTTCATAGTAATCATCAAAATCTGTATAATTGGTATTGCTATACCTTGGTTTTGTTTTTTCTAGCCTTTCTAATTCCTTGCGAGTATTGATAGCATTATCGATTTCTTCTCTTAATTTAGGAAAGTCACTTTCCAAAATCAGTTGCTGCATTCTGCCTCGATTTTTCCCTGTTTCTTCAAGAGCAAACTTTTCTATTAAAAGATTGATTTCAGCAGGCAATCCATTTTGGTGATATCACTGAAAACGAGCCAGCATTTCTGAAGGCTTTAATTTTCTTTTTTCAAATTTTTCATTTAACTCTCAAATGATTTCTTGGCTATTTTTTAAATATAATTGTTTATCATTTATGTTATTTATAATAATTATTTTTACAGCATTTATACTGTTTAATTTTCTAATTTTCTTTTTTTGCTTGATTTTGGTTAGAACTTTCTAACACTCTTTTGAAAACTCTTTCTTCTTGATAGATTTCATAAGTAATTTTTTCTTTATCTAGATATTCCTCGAGAATTTTGGTGTCGTTCATTTTAAAAACATATGGAGCAATTTTCTCTCCTTGAGCTTTTTTTAGAATGCTTCTAATTGTGCTGTAATTCTTTGGTTCCATGGTTGATTTAATGTAAATTAGTTTCATATTAATATTTTTTGTATAGAGATAATCCTATATTAATCACATTATAGTTTATATTCATCACATTATGGTATGATAAAGTGAACATTAAAATTAATAAGTCTATAAATTATGAATGAGCACCGTTATTACTTTTCAAAACGTCATCAGTCACACTGGTCAATTTTACAGCCACATCATAATCAGCCTCTCATTTATAAAATGTTCACTTTGTCTGGTTTTGTTGCAGCATGCCCCATATAGTCCTACACTTCGTCCCGGACTAATTACTTTTTTTTTCGAAATATTCTTTTGGAAACATATTGGAAATATATAATTTTTATTTTAGAAATGAGTTTAACCAATTTAGGGTTCTGAACTTGAACTTTACCAAGTTTTGGCAAAGTGACAAATTATTAGATCACGTGTATGAAATGATTTGTAATCCATTGTCTTTTGATTGGTAAATTATTTTAAATTATCAATTGCGAATATAAAAAAAATATTTACTTGTAAGACCGATCTGCCTATTGTGGACATTCTGTTAGAAAATCTATTGGAAAGGTTTGATGGAACAATAAAAAAAAAAAATAGAAAAATCTAATTTGTTTTTATTTCCTTGGCGGGTTTCTTTATAAATATCCCTTGTTTTTTTTCTTTTTTTTATCCATTTTATTCCATCTTTTAAGAGAGATATTTTTTTTTTTATTACAAACTAATTAACGATAGCTTGAATTATTTGAAACAAGTTCAATCAATATCAATTATCAAAAAAGTTAAACTCTTATTTTTTCTTATAAAACACAATGTCCCCTTGTGCTGTACACGATTTACGGGTTCAAATCTCGAACGTTGTTGCAACAAACACACTGATAGTTGCTAATCTTGATCGCGCAACTTTTCTTCATGAAAATCTTGCTGAACTTCGAGATCACCTCGAACTACACGGAAAAATTTATAAATTTGTACCGATCAAGTCATTCAATCGTATTCTTTCCATTTTTTATCAACCCAATGATGCAACGAAGGCCAAAGCATATTGTGATAGAATGGAATTCTTGAGTAAGAATATTCGTATATATTATGGACAGGTGAGATTTTAAGGATTGAAAATTTTATTTATTTTTTTTTTTTTCGTCGAAATAACAACTAATAATTAAACGTTATGTTTCATAGCATACTCCCCTATATGATGAAATCGATAATTCAAGACATCTTAGTGTGCCGGAACTCGAAAAAAATTGGCTCGTATCTCCACCAGGTTCACCACCATTCGGATGGACTCCAATCAAAGAAGACCGTCCTAATTCTAACACTTTATCTCATGATTTGGCTCATGCTCTAGCACACGTTTCTTTAGACTCCGATATCAAAGAATTTTCTTTAGAAAATAACAATGATCTTCCTAAATCGCAAACACCTATATTGACTATTGTCCCATGTGATTCTGATTCTCATCGGAATGATGTCGAGGTTCCTCTCATTCTCATTCAGGATTGGGATAATTCAGGATCCCACGATACCAAAAAGACAAAGAAAAATTTACAACAAACGAAAGCACAACTGTGTCCTACTTTGATGCAACGTCCGCCTACTCCGACTCCTCGACCCTCGCTTCTCTTTTCGTAGTTATTAAATAGATTTAATGTATAATATAATTTCGGAAAATAGATTGGTCATATAAAATTTACTATTTCTACAATTAAAAATAAATCAAAATAGATTTATTCAAGTTTAATAATAATATATTTTGCGTTAGATGCTAATTTTTTGAATACAAAGAATACAAAGATGTTTGTACAAAAAAAGATATTGATTAAAAAAATAACTAAACTAAAAAATTTTAATATAAAAATTTTTATTGAATAAAAATTAAATAGTAAACGTTAAAATAAATCCAAATTTGGTCAATTGTTGTCGTCTTTTGATCCAGATCCATCCAATGAGTTAGAAGTATAGAAGTATGATAACGGCGGTAAATAGGATGACATTGGACGATTCGATGTATTAGTTGTATTAGTTGTATCGGAAAGTGTTGAAGGTGATGAATAAGTATGAGTAGGTGGTGGTAAACTTTGCACCCGATTTCGTAAATTTGCTGTGGATGATGACATGCTTGAATTTGTGTCGTTGTCATCAACTGTATCCCTCGTTGAAGGTAAATTAGAAAGAGAAGCACTCATGATACGAGAGGATTTTGTTGAAGATTCAGATCCTGTACGTTTTCTTGAGTGATGGCTAGATGTTGAACTATTGTTATTCTGCCAATCTTCAACATCTAACACATAATACTTAACACCGTCCGGTAATTCAAATGGATTTGTGCCCGGTTTCTACCAAATTGATATTACTTTAGCGAGTTCAATTCATTATGTAATAAGTCAATCAACCGAACCAACCTTTACATCAACTCTATGTTCAGTAATTTCAATGATTCGCGCGACGATCCAATCTTTATTACGAATTTGACCATTTATTGTTTCGGTAGCGCGCAAAAAGTAATAAGGACAATTAATGTTAAAAGCAGCCCAAGGTTTGGCTGTTGAATTTCGTGTAGGCAAAAATAGTGCAATGTCGCCATTCTTGAAACTAACAAAAAAAAAGAATTTTATGGTTAAATAAGCCCAACTTGATTGCATAGTTATTTTACAAAATTTTATATAATATTTATTACTTTCGAAAAGAAATTTTCTCTTTCGATTCCTGACTAGCTTTAATATACTTTTCTGTTAAAGGAATAATTAAGTCAACTGAAATCAAAACCGAAAAAGCCCGTTAACTAATGACGCTATTTGAACTTACCTCTATTCGATTTACTTTCTTTTTTATATTTCTTTACAAGATCCTCTGCATCCTTAGGTGTTCGTCTAATTATATGACGAACCTCATTAAGATCCACTTTTGTTGAAAGATTTAGGAGTGTCTCATATTTATCCTTCGGCCATTCCACTTGTTCAGAATAATTTGAGAAAAACTTTCCCAAGTCTTCAGCAAAATAGCTATCCGATAAACGTGATTCAGACGATTTAAGATTTCCTTTTTCTTTCTCAGTTGACGATAAACTCGACCCATTTTCATTGTTCACAGGTAAAGAAAATTCCATCGCGCTCATCAATGTTCGAATATTATTATAATACTCCCAAAGGTATTTGCTTAATAAACGAGAAACTTCAGTACGTTCCTCCAACATTTGACGCATTTCACTTAAAGTTTCTTCCAGGGCAGCGTGATTAGCTTTAGAAGTTTCAAGAGACTATAAAGGTTGACCAATGACAAATTTGGATTCAATATCGATAATTTATAAGTTACGCCAACTTCATGAACTAACCTGTTTTGTATCACATAATTCCTGGGCCATAGAATTCGCAACATTTCCAACTTTTTGTATCATATAAATAGGATTCAAATTTGTTCCCGACTTGGTCTATAATGACGAGAAACAACAATAAATTATAAATGAATAAAGTAAATATCGTAAAATAATATTATTACCTGTTCAGAAACATCATAAGCACTTGCGACATCCATATAATTCAGAATGGTTTCGGTAATATTCCTGATTAACTTTTCATTCTAAAATGATCAAACATTCGATTAGAGAGGAAATACATTGACTAATGTATAATCATAAATACCTGTTCATGAGCCTTCTTAGTTTCAGCATTTTCCCGCTCAAGCTGTTTTCCTCTTTCGCGCGACTTAATAATATAAATTGATTAATAAAAGGTACAATTTATTTTCGTTCAACGATAAATATAATTCACCTTTGCAAGCAAGCTATCAGTTTCTTCACGTCGTAAATTCATTTTGTCAAGGCTAGCTTTCCAACTCTCAATTTCATGAAGCAGCTATAGTGTTTTAGCATATGAGTATGCGGAAAGAGTTATCAAGAAAGTGTAATATTATTAAAAAATTTATTACCTCTTGCTTGTTTATTTCGTATGTTTGAGTTACGTTATCCTTTTCCTTTTGAAGTTCTTCAATCTGCATTCAAACGTAAATTGGAGTTTAAATTTTTGAAAATTAAAAAGAAAATTACGTTAAAATGATCGTACCTTTTTTCTCCACCGTTCTTTCACAGCTTCAATCTGCTCCTGCATCAGCTGCTGAGCTTCTAACTCTTCAATTCTCTTATTCAATGATAATCGGTCTTGTTCATACTACGAATTACAAACAAATTATTAAAATCAATATCTAAAAGTTACAAGGCAAAAATAATGAATATTTTTTTTTTTTAAAATAAAAAAACAAAAATAATTTGAACCTTTTGTTTATATTCTTCTAATCGAGTTTCTAGTTCATTTTTCTCTGCATTAATGTCATTAAACTTCATTTCTATAATTGATTTTTCTGCATCTAATGCATTTTTGTCTTTTACGATAAATTCCTTTTCCTCAATTAATTTATCCATTTGCTTTTCTAACTTCTCACATTTTCTATCAGCATCTAATTTTTTCTCATATTCATCATTAAGTTTATTATATTTTGCTTTTAAATCTTGATAGTTTTGTTCCAAATCTTTAACAAGTGCCTCATATTT